GTGACACTGTCCGTCGTGTTGCTCCGTGTCTAAGTACGTTTCTCGTACTTAACTGAAATAGCTCTAGCAATGAAGGTGTCAGTCGTTCTTTCCGTGCTTTGAGGCTTTCTTTTGCCAAGCAAGTCAAAGCTTTATGCTCTGGCGATGCTTTTTACTTCAAGTTTGGTATTTGTGAGCTTCACTTTTTTTTTTTTTCACGCGTGTGGTGATGTGTGGTTATATTTAGCCTAGGCCCACCGCTTGCGGAGCTCGGGCACCGCCCAAACCGCGATCTTCGCCGAGCGTGGAACATGGCGTCATGCGGAGGGACCTGCTTCCCGGAGGTGGAGCTGTGTCTGTGAGTTTTATTGACGCCAGGGCATGCAAAAGCACGGTTTGCAAACCGTAAGGCGGTCATTCCCTGATCCTGGCCGAAGCTTCGCAAGATCCCCTGCGTGAAAGCTCGAAGGATGCAGCAGACAATCCATTTTGCAGCACTTTGCACCTTCTGTTTTCTCGCATTTTGACAGTGGTTTTCAGCTACACTTGTTGCCTGTTGCTGCATCTTTGCCTGCGAGCACTGGGGTGGACCAATCACAGCCGAGTCTCTGTGATGCTGCGTGCAACAGCATCACATGGTCTGCCGGAATGTATTTGTGGCCGTGTTTGATCTGGCAGCGCCGGCATTTCCTGTACAGAAGAGGTTGTTTTTGAAGAGGAGGAAATCATTCTAAGTACCGCGATCTCTGATGCCTCGGCCTTTCAAAGAGGCATTGAGAAGCTGAAGCGGCACGGAATTCGTGTTCGAGGGGTACCATCCCTCGGATGCCGTCAAGCGGCCGCCCTGGCACCCAAATACCTGCCGAGCACAGGCCGGATGGTTCGATGGACTGCAAAAGCACTTGGAGACCTTGGCCCGAGGTGCGTTTCCAGTCGGACGATCTGCATCATTTAAGTTGCACGTTTACAAATTACGCCTGCCTACAGAATGGCAGCAAATTCAGATGGTTACAAGCATGATTGTACAAAAAGAGGGTGACGAGAGAAAAATAGCACATCGCGCCACACGATATTCCTCCAGAGAAATGCAGATTCAACTCACCCTAAATTTGTTTTCCTCTCATTGCAGTGTCGAAGTGTTCATCCACAGCCTCTTTAGCCGTGTTAGCTAGTTACCCACAACAGCAAATCTTAGTTTCCTTTGTCTCCTCGGACTGGCCACGGCCTTTTTGTGGTTCTACCTCCGGAAGCAACATTACTACCAGGAAGTCGTGCTGTGGAAGCAGTCTGTTGTCCATGCGCTCACAGCAGTTCTGGAGCCGGTTGGACTTCAGGTATGCTCTTGGTTGGACCTGCCTCTCCTGAGCAGCCTGAGAAATCTGAGCAGATTGGCTGTTTCCACATCTTTTGGGCAACATGTGGGAAGCAAGCGCCATTGCAGGACACTGCACGCTGCACCTGCATTTAGCAGAGCATGGACAGAATACGTAGCTCGTTTTCCTATCCCGCTTGGCAACGTAGTGGACCAAGGATTCTGCATGGCAGACAAGAGGGAGCAGCAGAGCCTGTTCCATGCTTGGTCTTTGGCCGTTTGATGTTTTTGTGCAGCCTTGACCTGTGTGAAGTCTTTGCAATGGAAAGTCAGATCAGCACTTTGAACAGAATGGAGCATCGTGTGTTTAACGGTCACGGCTTCAGATGTGCAGCGCACGCATTGAATTTGCTGATCCCATCCCGGGCCAACCCCCTGAGGGGAATACGCACGCATGGCCGCTGATGTGACTCCGCAAAAATGGCCTTTGCCATGCCTGAGATGCTGTTGCGCATCGTGTGCAGGTGTGGATGTTGCCAGAAATTGCATTTATACTGTGTGCTTCAGCTGAAGATGGGGACAACTACGGTTGCGTATACAGTAGCAAACGTCAATCAACAAATTCTGGTTCGCTATTCACGTTTAAAAAAAAAAGCAACTCGAGCAGCCATGCCGACTACCTCACTTGTGAGCCCTTCGCAGGACCCTGCACATGCACATGAGTCAGCAGAAAGGGTTCGTGTTCTGCGAGAGGCAGATATGCAGTGGCGGGCGCGGATAGGCTCTGAGGCCACAATGTTTGCAAGTTGTATTTTCATAATTCTGAGTGGCCAGTTTACCTTGCAGGAATTCTGGGCAACATTTCCCCCGCTGTCCCCGCGGCCAGAGGTAGGTTCCGGAGGCGATGTCGTCAGTGATGTTCGATGCAAGGGGTAGCTGCGAGAGGGCGCGGATGCTTGAGGCTTGTTTCCAATCCGGCTCAGTGCCTCGCACGTGCGGGCATTCATCGCGCTGCCAGGACCAGGTCTGCGCTCGTCCCATGCTTTACACATGCTGCATTTGCAAGTGTAGCAGGCGCAGGATCCGAACGGGAAGATGCAGGCCTCTACACTCAGATCTGGATGGGTTGCGCATGGATATGTTATGCTCAGACAGGTAGCCAGAAGCGAGCTCCGCGCGAATCGTGCAGGCCACCTGGGGAACCTGAGGCATGCGGGATTTGTCGTATGGGACTCCCATCACTAAGTAGACGCTTTGGCCGTTCTAGTTTCTTTCTACCAGCTGACGTCGGACACACGTCTTGCACACAGCGAAAGGAGTACCACTTCAAGCTTCAGCTCGGCACTTGGAGATGCTCGAGCCTCGGAGTACAGTTGCGTTGTCTGCAAGTAGTCAATCGATCTTGCTGGCATCAGCACAGTGATAGAAGACATTTTTGATCACCTCTTGCGCGAGTAGTGCTGGTCAGTTATGAGTCGGGTATGATCGTCATGTTCGTCTAAGTCGATTCTGGACTTGTCGGACCCTCAAGTGCACTTGCCTCCCGGAAGGTAGGCCAAACATCATCGCGGGCCTCCAAACGGTACGTACCTTAGCTACAGGACTCCTCTCTGTATGATTGTGAGTGTCTTCACGAGGTCTAGCCACGCAGCGGCCTCTCTGGTTCTGGACCAAGGTCGGAGTGTATTATTCCGATGGATTGGAGGTCTTGCAGCAGATGCAGCAGACTGATGCAGACTGGAGGTGCCAGAGATTTAAAAGATCAGCTGCGACAGGCGGAGTGCCCTCCTGGTCTTCACCATCTGCACCTCTTGTCCCTTTCCTCCGTGCATTGCAGGAGCGGCTTCTCAGGCAAAGGGCCGAAGATGAGGCTCAGAAGTCCTGGAGCTGAGATGCTTCGCTTTGGCCTGTCTGAGACAGTCACCTCATGGCAGTCTCGAGAACGAAGTCTACACTCAGGCTGCGAGCTCGACTGCAAGAGACACAGTGAAAGAAGGTCCATGGCAAGTGCATTGGGCCTGCAGCTTTCAGCATGCAGCAGTGGGTGGCTGCCTGGCTTTCTCACGTGACCTTAAGCATCATAAACTCACATTTTACGGAACTGTCAGATAACCCATGATCACCTTAAGCCGCATCTCTTTCTCTGGAGCTTGGGTTCAAGGTCAGTGATACTTGTCGTAGTACTCAGAAGTTTTGTTTTGTTTTATCATGATGCCGCCAAAGGTGGCATGCAGATTTCCGGTCTATTAGGGCCAAAGTCTCATGAGGGGCAAAGACACCATGCCATGCATGGGCCAATGCTGACTCCGAAGATTGCGAGCGCTTGCAAAAGAAGCAGAACATGATAGCAGCTCTGTTCACTATCTCTCGCTGCCAATGCTGCCAAACCCTTGGCACACTGCCTGGATGATGTCCGTCATTTTGCAGAACATGCGTACGCAACTGCCACATGAAATGCAGCTTTGCAAAAATATTTCTTGCGCATGCCACATGTCCAAGAGCCCTACGTTCGCCTTGAGTTTGAGCAAGTAAGCACCGAGAATTCCTGATTGCTTGTGCGCAGAGCGGTCAGCGAGCTGCCATTAAGCTTCCATTTTCAGGTTGTGCCATTTACATGAAGCTGTGGGGTGCCATGTCAAGCATCGGCTGGGTACAACGAAGTGTTCCAACATGCACCCAGCAAATGCAGCTACATAGTGAAAGCTGATACTTTATCAATGAGGAAATCACACAGGTAACTGGTTGGTCAGGCTTCTGCAGCGCTTAGTAAAGCTGGACGACAAGCGTTTTGCGCTCCAAACCTCTCCATATCTAGCGCAAGCCCGCTGCCCGGCCTGGGTCCACACAAGAACCACTGTATACCCCTATGCGCTCCGACTTACCAGAGACCCCTCGTTGCCTAATCGCCTGACCCCAAACATCCCCAAACTTTCCTGGACTCCACACCTCCCTTGGCCGAGCTTGGCTGGGGTTGTCCTCTTGTTGTATCCTCCCACGGGGAGGACATGCAGCTCCAGAAGCCTTTCGTGACGGCGCAGCTTTCTGGGTCAAGAGCCTGAACTTCGGCCCTGCCCAGACAATCTGACAATTGGGAGGGCAAGTGAAGCTTCCAAGCTCAGCAAGCTTGACGCGCGCTTGGGTGTTTCGAAGCACACAAGCTGCGCTCCCTATTGATGAGCGGGACGAAGCAGCCTGTCTGAAATACATAGAGGTTCAATGACAACAAGTCACGAGACGGCTGCCAATCCCTGGTGACAGGTAGCTCCCTCCCACCAATGAAGATAAGGCATGCAGGCAGCCAGGGACGCGGTTTCAGTTTTGGCGGTACACTGGCCACTGGCCGCATCGTGACAGGCCTATCTCTGATCGGCTGCCTCCTCCTTTGTGCCCAAGCAGTCAAGAGGCCCCTTTTTGCAGGAGCAGTTTGTATAATCCAAGCAAGCGTGTTTAAAAGGCCTTCTGTCGGCACACCATTTACGGCTCATGCCTCAGAATGTTGAGTACAGCACGGGCTAGCGATTGCCAGTCTGACACACACACATGAAGCAGTCCAGTAAGGTTACGGCTTCGATGTGGCACTTCTGTTAGAGTAATTTTTGTTGTGGATTTCAATGCAATTGATTATTCGGCAGGCAGCCGATGCAAACCATGGGCCTTACCACCATCATGATCTTTCCCCGCATTCGTCCACGCTAACCCAAAGAGGAATCCGCGCTGCTAACCCGGCCCGCAGCCCACACCGGTCTCTGGCCCCGGGTTCGTCAGTAAAGACTCTTTTAACTTAACTGAAAAAGGCTTCAGGAGCTCTAGAGCCCTCCAGCTTTGGGGGCGCTTTGACTTGTCATTTCTTGTCTTGAAATCGTTTGTGGCTCAGCTGTACGCAGGTCCCAGTTCCGAGTTCCGGTCCCACTTCTTAGCCTGATGTGGTTCAGCTGCCCGAGGCCCCCGCCGGAGATCACTATCGCACGGTGCTGTCACTCTTGGAGACACATTCAGCTCTCTCCAGCGAGGTGCAGAAGCCCAGAATTCAAACCTCCCATCAGTTCATTGGAAGCATGTCACTGCAGGAGAGGAACGAGATTCATGAACTACTCACAGGAGTCTCTGCCCAAACTGTCTCAGACGTGAGGTGCGGTGCCCTTGCTAGAAAGAGCAGCATGACGGCCGCAGCAACCCACACCATTCCGCAGGCACTTTGACCGCTACCTCCGCTCTTTTGCGGCTGCCCTGGTGTCATTGTCGGAGAAGGCGCGCTCTCAGTGTGTTTCCGGAGGCTTGGCATCCATTCATGTTTCTGCAGGCTGGAGGACCTCATTTGCAAAGTGCATTGACGAAAATTATGGGTGTTATTGAGAAAACTCTCAAGCCCGGAATCTTGGATCAGCAGGGCCCTGAGATGGCGGCAAGTCCCAAACTTTCAATCAAGCTGTGACTCAGCAAAGGCACGTGGCCGCGCAGAAGGCCCGGGTCAGTCTCTAAAAGGAAATTGCAGCTTCACGCCAACAAAGGCAATCACTCGTGCCGATGAGGGTGTCCAGGAATGCCCCATTGGCTGCAAGAAGAGATCACAACCCTGGCAATCAACACCAGTACCTTGCGTTTCGTGCGCGAGTGCCAATCATGGAGCTGGGCGTAAGAACGAGTTCGGCTGCACACTTGAATTTCAAAGTAGATGCGCTGCTTTCTGTGCAAGGTTGTTTCGAGTGATCAATGATAGTTGGTGCTGAGGTTACAACGCACTTTGGCGTGGACTGAATGCCTCCAATGCTGTCCGTGATTCCTTAGTCAACAAGAGCAAGGTTGCTTGGCATGATGTGTAGATTCAAGACGCCGCTGCCTGCTGTTGCAGATGTTTTGCAACCTTGAAGTGGGGGCAATCTTGTGGGCAAACATGTTACGTGGAACACGGCCTGACCTTACTTGAAGGACTGCATACTTCTTGTGCAGCACTGTCGCAGGCTATCAAGTCTTGCTACCGCTTTGCAGCAGCAGCTCTTGGCCAGCAATGTGGACCTTGAAGCCCAAAGTGGACATATTCCTAAACTGCATTGCATCCAGGCATCTGACAATGTTTCGGCGGCACTAATCAGTCTTCCCAGGCGGCTGTTGGAGAGTCAAGAATTGGGGCTGTTTCGTTTCATTTATCAACCTGGCACTAGGCTGTTGACGGCTCGGTCAGCCGATTGTGAGAAATTGCTGGCTGCATCTGATGTTTCCCAAGCTCCTCTTCAAGACGCCAAGTTGCAAAGAACGGCTTCGAAACCACTGGATGTGATATGTGATATGTGGTTTGCGCATCATTTCATGCTTGTCGTAGCGGATCGTGTCAAGAAGTTGAAATTGCTATCGATCCTGCGACCTGGTGACAACAGTAGCAAATTAAGATCAAGGATTGGGCAACACGTTGTGATCATCATGACAGCCCAAGCGTGGGCACCTATTTGATGAAGCAGCTAATGCACTGGGAGGCAGCTTGTTTAGCAAATAGCACAACGAAGAGGTCTTAGAAATACTTGAACAGGAGCTTCTTCAGCAGTATGACGACATTGAGAAGCGCTGCAAGGAGTCAACAGCAAGCTATGAGACGCAGGTGACAAGGCAAGCCAAAGCAACGCTTAAGCCTGTTGTAAGATGGCCGCTTTATCTACTGACAGGTACAATTCAATGAAGAGCACTGAGCTGAGATGTTCGCGCCGGTCTGGATTGCGGTTGCTGTAGATGTTCTTCCGTCCTTGATAGTCTACAAAGCTCGCCCAGAGAAAAGATTGCTTGCGCATGAGATTGTGTCAAGCTGAGCAGCCCAGCACATGCTCGGAAACTCCAGGTCACCAGCAAGATGGAAGAGACTGCACATCTCTTCAGGATGACATGGACGCTGCAGCATGCAAACAGGCAGGCGGCACTTTGGATCTGCGATCTTTGTCACACTTGCTCGGCTGTGAGTAAGGCGCTTGATCGGATCGACTCATGCGGGACCTATGGCAGCTGCATCAAGGCCAGGATCTCTTTGCGCGAGCGGTCGTAGCTGCTGGAATTCCACAGGGTCTTCAAGGCCGTGTCAGGGCAGTTGTCTGGACAACATAAGCCAATGTTGAAAAATGCGCTGCCTCATTCTTGCTGCTTCTTAAGCGGCAGGCGTCTACAGGGCTCTTCACATGTTCATGAAGGTGAGAATAGGAACGCAGAAAATGGCGAAGTACACATTACCATACCGTAGCCGTCAGGATAGCATTTCTGACCGGGCGTCCCTTCATGCGCAGCTCTGCTTCAATCAGACCCTGGTGCTTTCTTTTTCGCACATCGGAAGGAAGACTTTTGAGTCTGTTTTGCCAAGGTCGCAGTGCAAGATTGAAGTGAGCTTGAAGGCATTGAGTCTTCAGTTCATGTAGTCCAAGGTTTTCTTTTAAATACACGTTTTCGGAATTCTGCAAGGCCCAGTGGTTTGCCCTGGAGTCAATCAAGTGCTTTCTGGAAGCATATAAAGACCATGAAGGATCTGAGGACGGCTGCAAGTTTATCAGATGCATGGATGGCAAAACATTCGCTTTTGCTTCAGGACTTGTCTTCGAGATTTGCCACTTGCAAATCTCGCAGTCCCGAGAGCTACAAGCTTGACTTCTTGGTGCTTCGCGGCTGTCACTCCGTTGAGGCAGACCAAAAAGTAAGCAGCCTTGCTAAGCCTTCTCAGAATTCGGCACTCTTGCAAGGCCAACTTGGCTGATGCCCTGAACTCTACGCTGCCGACATCAAGATCTTCACGGGAGTGTGCCGTCACCAAGGATCCAAAGAGCGATCCTTCGTTAGCTGGTCTGTTGCTCAGGGCCCTGGAAGCTTGAGCAAAAGTACTGGCAAGCTTTGACTCCAAGGTACCTCCGCCTATGCTTCTTGTCTGAAATGATATGAGGAAGACATTTGCAGGCTCCTCGTTTCATACTCCACTCTGCAGGAAGCGACCTACTATGTTGGCTTCAAGCCAACGAGGAGAAATCATGACTGCACATGGTGCACCTTACGAAGGCATCTTCCATGATTCTACAGGTGCACTGCAAAGTGTTGTTCGGAGCCACCATACCTCACATCAACCTCAACCTCCACTACGACGACTACCCTCACAACCACGACCACGTCAACAACCACAACAACGGGTACAGGCCTTAGACTGCCGAGCTGCCGTTGACCATGAAAGCAAATTTCTTCGGAAGCTGCTCATAGGAGCTTTCAAAGTCTGCAACGGTAGTGGATGAAATTGCACCTGTATTTGGCACTGCTTCAGAAGCCCGCAGTCTTGAAGTCCTGGCTAGCTGTGCTTGGTGCTGAACCTGCTAGTCAGGCAAAGCCGCATGTTCCTTGGCAGCAGGGCAGGCAGTTCAAGAAGCACTGTGCAAAACACTGAGCAGCAAGCTGCACCAGAGGCAACGCGACAACTGTCAACATGGAGTTGTCGAAAAAGGAGTCCAAGTGTACAAAACTTGCAGACGGAAGCGAAAGGCTGCTCAAGTACCTTTTTGCAGGGCCTCCGGCGCTAAAGCCAATTCTGTCTGCTGCAGGTGGTTGGCTGGTTTGTCGCCAGCACTGGGCACTCCCCAAGAAGATCTCAAAGAGTTTGGACTGGCCTTGGAGTCTTGTCTGACAAAACCAGTTCATCAAGCAGCTTGTGAAAACGAGCCCAGTACCAGCCGAGGCCTCCAGGTCAGCGAAGCTTTCACGGAACTTGAAGATGATGTCTCCTGAAACGGAGACCCCGCATGCGTCTTGGCGGCTGTAGCTACTTCCTCACACATGTGAAACCGATAATCTCCACCTCAAGAACAAGACTTCCGACAGGTTTGTACACTCTCAGCAAGCCCTTGTCACCAACAGGGGAGCACAATTCGAATACACTCTCCAATCTGCAGCCGCATTAGTGAACAGAGGTATGGGACGAGGCCATCTCACGTATGCATGTGTGCAAGACCTAAGTAGAGTAAGAAGAAAAGCAGCAAGGGTGCATGCATGGACTTTCGCGTCAAAGACTCGTACATTGACATGTTTGGTGCCCATCAGGTTGTCATGGATGAGGTTCAAATCTCAGCTTCGGCTTTGGCTGGGAAATGGTGCTGTCTGCAGCGCTGAGAACAAGAAGCTCGCGGTCTACGTGAAGCACCCTGGCAGCTGCTCTGAGCAGCAAGCAGTGTTGCAGAGAGTGCTCCCGGCTGGAAGGACTTTGCTTACGTGGTGCTATTGGCCAAAGGTCTTCCCGATGCCTTTGCAAGGAGCCTCAAGATGCATCGCTGCAAGGGCTCTGACGACTACTTCGTCTGAAAGGGTCATTGACCTTCCTTGCTGTCCCCAAACGCCATAAGCGACTCAAGAGCTTAGATGAGATGTATGATGCACTGCATGTGCTTCTACTTGGGTAAAGAGCTTTTACTGCGAAACTGTACACGCTACCTTGTCAGGAAGGTAGTCGCGCATGACAGCATACTAGGTTTATGCCATTAGATTCTTCTCCGCCTGCATCACCCTAAAAGGGATTACGTGTTGCAACAGGTGACGCTCATGCGATTTGAAAGCCACGGGCAGTTGTGAAAGATGTACTGCCTGCCGTGCGTAAGGGCATCTGCGACTTGAATTTCAATGCGGTCTGGTTGTGCCAAACCTTGTACACCCCTGAGCAAGCAAAATGCATCAGATCTTCAATCTTGTTACTGATGATTCTGATTGATTCTGCCTTCTTTGAAGATCGCCAATTCTCTTTATGCTTCTCAAGTTCCATTTCGCCCTAGAGATGTCTCAACATGTTTGGTCTTGCCCGGCATGCTGCGGACCCTTCTACTTCATGGCGCACCGTTGACAGCATTTTCACATCCTCACGTGTGTGGTTGATGAATTGGAGACAGGCAAGATCTCACACCATCCTTCAAGTCTCCGATGCCCAGTCCTCCAGGAAACAGGAGGTTCTGTGCAAAAGCCTTTGCCAGCTTTGAGCATCTGAGCCAATTCTATATTGGCGGCAGAAGCATTCGGTTGCAAAGCAAGCTCAAAAAGGTGGTGTCGCAGAGGGAGGTTCTAGAAGAAGTTGGACCCCTCTAAAACGCCCTTTTTAGAACCTGTAGTCTTTACAGGGCCACCTCGGGGTTCCATGTTAGAGTAGCGTACATGCACTAAATCCTTCGCCCACATCCTTTCTTACCCCTATACAATCCCTATCAAGTTTTAGCTTACGCCTCGGGCTGGAGGTTGTGGCTACCGCCGCACCCGAGGAAAACCCCCAGGCGAAACCTAAAGCCTAAACTAGTTCAGACTTCAGGTCGCATGCGGCTTTCTGAATTCGAGCTGCAAAGAAGAGCCTCCATCCTCCCCGTCACGTAAATTTTGGGGTGGGGGCTGTTTTTAGATTGGTTCTTGCCAATGCCATCAAGGGCGTGAAACGCTCTGAGTCCTGCCTCGTGCATGTGACTCAGGGTCAGACTTTGGTCTGGCGCCCTCTGTTTTTGATTCGGTTCTTGATTCTTACATTTCTTGCATTCTGGTTTCGATCCAAGACTGCTGATGAAGGCGAGCCCATAGGGTTTTCGGTCCAGGTGCAGAACGGATTCCAGGCTCCCACTGCGAATACTGCAGAGCAGATATCAGGAGTTCCAGTCGTCTGCGGAGATATCAGTGATTTTGGCACGGTGGTGCGCATGTGGCAGGCTTCTCCTGGTGATGGAGTGCCCTCTTCGGGTTCTCAGGTCAACCGCGCTGTAATCTGGGCGATCGCAGCGGGGGGCCGGTGCAGTCTGAGGCTATCATGCTGGAGTGTGTCCAGCTAGCGAAGGATGATCCTTTCCTCCAAAGTACTCAACAGGCTTTCGCTCTGAGCTCGAGCCAGGAGATTCAAAGTGAGGGGCTCGGTGGGCCCCCCACCTTGTTTCCTCAACTGGACTTGCAGAAGCTGACCCTTCAATTTATCTTAGCTGCCTGGAGTGCTGCACATGTTGCGTTCCACCTCAGCTTCAGCTTCGCGCAGGGCATCTCCAAAGCCATTGGTTTCATAGGTAACTGGGACGCAGTTGCCACTAGTGCCCAGTCACTCCATCGCAAGCTTTGCAACAGCGCGGGACCTGCCGGTGGATCACTCCAAAACAGGCTTTTGGTGCACTACTGCCAAAGGCCACAAAAGTCTGTGGCAGGCGGGCCTTGCACTCCTTGGATTCTCGAAAGTTGGGCGCTCGTTTGCGGTCTTACCGTCGAGGCACTAATTTTACTAAGAAAAACGCGTCCAGGTGACAAGTGGCCAAAATTCAGCAGTTCTCCGGCACCTTTTGAGCAGGATGCGTGCTTTGAGGCTGCGAATTGCCTTCAGCCGTACGTTTTTCACCAATGATTCGCGAATGAATGCTCTCTGCTATGCTCTGTGGTGAGCGAGATTCCATACGACACAAGCTTGTGGAGTCTGAGCAGCTTCGGAGCTGTCGAGAGGCTACTTCGCTAACTGCTGTCCAACTTCAGGCCTTGCCGCCTTCCCGGCTTCTGCATGGATGGGCTCAATGGTCCCATGCCCGGATCGCCCGTCCTACCATCTCTTTGTTGATGGCTCGTGTTTGCAGCTGGAAGCCTAGCCTCTTCGCCTGGCTTTTGGGGCGGTCACCATTGCACCCTCATCTTCCTGCACTGCAGTCCTGCTCTCGGAGGGCTTTGATCTGGGATTACCAAGCATTTCGGGCAGAGCTTTGCGCCAATTTTTTTGGCCCTTCTTTTCCTTGCCAGGGTGCAATGGCCAGTTTGGATTTGGTCAAATTACGTAGGGGTGGTTCGTAAGGTTAGGCGCGTTTTAGAGGGTTCTTGGCAGCCCATGCCCCGCATGAAACACTTTGATTTCTGGTCGGTCATGGGCAGCTTATCGGCAACGGTTCAGTCTTCGGGCTGCGCTCCAATTAGGCGTGTCTCGACAATGCAGCTTTTCTTTGGGTTTTTACTTTCGGTTTGGACTGGTTGACTTCCGGACATAACCGGACAGGCGTTTTGTTGAAGTTGGAACGGCAGTGCGCATCAGGTACTTCACCCGGCACGTCAGGCGTTATGCGAAGGCCGCAGGTACCGAACGGAGCGTTTCATTAGGGAAGCCCGACGTCCGTGCCGCTACGACTGAAGCTGTCCTGCGTTGCTCTGAGGTTGGATGAGAGATGTTTTAGTAAATTCGAACAATTCTTCGCAGACCGTCTTCCGCGATGAGTTGTGTCGGGCAATCAACACACGTCGAGAAGTCTGGCAGTGCCGTAGAAGTAGGTCGTTGCTTGTGGGTAGTTTTCTCAGGATTGTGCTAAGGGCTCGGCAGCTTTAACAATGGGTGACAAAGAGTTCAGGCCTTGGCGGCATCAGTTTGGAGGTTAAATAGATTTGGCAGTCTTAGCTTCGGTAATTTGAGCGCTAATCGTAAAGGCCTTTCGTATGTTCAATGCTCCTCTCAGCCTGCAGCCTTGATGGTTTCGTCTGCAGAGCGACTTGGCGCTGAACCTGTTGCCCCGTTTCGGTTTAGCGCTAGTTGCAGGGTTGGTCCATCTTTCCCAGATCCATGGACTGCACTAAGCATCCGCTCATTATGGATGTAGAGCATGTGCAAATAGGCAAGGTGTCGCCGCCTTGCAAGAAAGGTCCCACACACAGGATCCATTCTACCCAAGCTTCATTGATGAGTGCTGTTCCTCGGTGCCGGATTTGTTCGAAGACAACATTTTGCGGACTGTCTGCTGCACAGTTCCGGAAAGCGACCATGCAGCATAGGTACGTAACGCTATGGAAACGTTGTGGCTGTGCACCGAGGCTGGCGCATGAAATCCTCGGCAGGGAACTTGTTTGCATTTACAACAGACGGCAGATGCTAACGATTTCACCGAAGGCTCTTGAGGCAGTACCCCACTGGATCACCATTGCGGGCGAACCGCAGCCAGAGCCCTGGATGAGTTTTGCCATCCAGCAGATTTTATGATCACTTGCCTCATGAGATGCTGAGGTGTGACGTTGATGGGTTGGAGCTGGAAAGACAGTGGGATGAATGTTTCGAGGCTTCTGCGCTGTTGGCGCTGCATTGAAGTGCTCAAGCAGTTTCACTCGAAAGATTCTGAAAGGGAATGCTGAGCCGACGCGATGCTCAGACCTCAAGCTGCCATGATCTGGTCCAACATGATTCGGTGGTTTCGGATGGTGTTTGATTTACTGTTTGATCTTGCAAAGATGACCTGGTACACTCAGCCAGCGAGCTTGTTGAAGCCATTTATTTGGGTTGTTCTCAAAGTTGTGGGCTATTTTCGTGGTAGGTTATATGTTATATCACCTCACCTTATATTTAGGGGTACCACAAGTTCTGGGAACTACCCATTTGTTCTCACAACATCACACCTTCGCGGACAGAATGCCTGTTGCCTTTTCTCATACAGTAGCTTTTCAAGGAGCCGCGGCTTGTCTGTACCACCCATGCATCGACTTGGTTTGGGCGTCTGTAATGGCCCGAAACGCGTCGGTTGCAGACCTGAAGGCAAGGAGTCGGTGGCAAGCATTACCATGTTCCGAGGCTCTTCCAAACTTGACATCCGTTTAGACCTTGCAAGATTCAAGAATGGGCCAGAATGGGGCCTGATTCTACTTGTAGAACCATGCTCCGATTCAGGAAGCATAATTTGCAATCCCGACTAGTCGGTGCCTACATCCTGGGAGCATGAGCCTGCGAAGTTGTAATGCATCAGTTCCCTACCACCCTGAGCCACCAGCAGCAATGAGCGTCAAGTGATTGAAGCCAATATCCCTACACGGCACCCAGCAAGGCTGAGCCGAACGCCAGCAAGCGAGCCTGGAGCCCAGCTTTCTAATGAAAAGAACGCAAGCCCGCAAGGTGACTGGGTAAGAAATGACAATAAGGTGCGACAGCACCGCTTTGATGTCATGGATTGGTCCTCAGTGGATATTTGCTGGTGGATTCTTCGAATCGCTGCAGTCAGTCAGCCATGTTCGTTTGCCGTGCCTAACTTGTTGGAAGACTTGCTCTGTTAGGCTCGCGGTTTGAAGACCGCGCAGTGGATGAGCAACGGGGCACTGGCCGCTGCTGTGAAGGTCCGGCACGCAGTCATGTAGGTTTGAGATCCAAGTATGTTCTATCACAAATGAGGGAGACTTAAATGAATGCGTCACCTCAAATGCAAAGTCAAGCAGTGCAGTATGGACAACAACCAAGAGTCCCAGCATGACAGAACACTCAGAGCTGAAATAAACACACTTGAACTCAGCGCTTAGTTGGAAGACATGCATGGAATGCAGGAAAGCAGTTGCATGTGTAGTTTATCCACTTCTTCCGTGCTGCCTCAAAATCCATGTAATCTGTTGTTTGTGTGGTTCATGTTCTCGGTAAGCCTTTGGATTGCCTCCTTATTTCTGTTTGGCTCTATTGTTTTGAGATTTTATGTGAGTCTATGCTGTTCCTATCCTGGAAAGTCTTGGATACTTCCTGGTAAACTTGAGAGCGCTGGAGGAGGCCAAAAATGGCTCAAAGCTTCTCCTCTTCACCATGACGCCACCCCATCTCACAACCCCTACCCCGGGTTTGGGATTTAGGATGACTTAGGGTTTACGGTTGAAGGTTTGGGTTGACGGTTTAGGGTTTAGGCTTCAAGGCTTTGATGGGGTGATGATGGCGTGGTGGTTTAGTGGGGGAAAACTTTGGGGGCGTTTGGGGGCGGGTTGTTTTTGCGAGGCAGTGTGCTGGGAGCGGTAACTGGTAACCCCCTTATAAAAATAAACAGTGGCTTGGGATCTTTATTCCTTCAGCGAGGAGCTGTGCACATGCCAGTAGGACATACCGGTATAATAGACTTTTGGCGAGTTTCATGCTCTTCCCTGCGCATTTCTGGACTCTCCCGGCTTATTCTGCGAGAGTGGAGGGGTCCCAGAAATGAGCCCCATTAGGCCGCATTCTTCGTAGTGGGGATTACTCCTATTGAAGTAGCAGCAGCAATAGCAGCAGCAGCAGCAGCAGCAGTAGTAGTAGTAGTAGTAATAGTAGTAGTAGTAGTAGCAGTAGTAGTAGGAGGAGGAGAACCTGTTTCATGTGTGCGTAGTCACTGGCCATTCCATGGATGTTCTCTTTTTTTACTTGCCCGGAATATGCCGCCACCAAAATTGCCAGCAGTTTTCTTTCATGAAAGCAAGTATTGTTAATTTTGTGTAGGCTTCGTCTGGCGGTTTCGCGCACCCACGGCTTTGTTGTCTTTCCAGCCTCAACATCGTTTCGTGACGGATACGAAGGGTAGGCAGGCGCCTTTGGCCTTGTCGCAAGATTATGAAGTTGTCTGCAGCAAGCCGGTTGCTGCGCATCTGCTGCAATTTTTGCCTGCTCACGCCGCGCTATTTGACAGCGTCTTGGCCCATCAAATCTGTTGCCTAAGGTGGGAGCCAATCGGAGAATGCGCTTGCGATGCGAGCAGGAGGTCCCCGTGCCATGATGAAGTGAAGAGGGTCACGCCCCTTATGGAAATATATTGAAATCAAGAGTCTCGCATCGATGTGAGAGGATCTGATGAACGAGCTTCATCTTGAAAGACAGGCAGCGGAAGAGCTCCAGGCGCATCACTTGGGCTTAGACAGTTCGGCCCATGAATGCTACGGATAGATCTGAGGGTTGAGATTAGAACTAAAGACCCCAGACGCCAAGGGATAGGAACAGTAGCTGTGGCGAAAACATACGGTAGCTTCGCTACTGGGAGCTGAAGTCTCGTGGTGGACTGCGGCATTTCACATGATTAGCTTCCCTCAACTAAGACGGAGCTCTCCAGCGAGATGCGCGAGCTTCGCGACCGCTGTCACGAGCAGGCAAGCGACAGAATGTTTGGCAGCATCTGCCGTATTAGCAGCAGTGGTGTGGCAAGGGCCAAACGGTGGGGCTGCTGACGCAACGCTTAGCGGATGCTCGCAGTGCCATTGCTGGGGAACTCCAAGACGCTGCAGCAGAGCGTCGGGGACCCCGGGCATTGCGAGATGAGATGTGCAATCCTGACTCGGACACGCAGGTGCTGCCCTGGGAGCTGAGCTCTCCGAGGAGTGACTTTTAGAGTCTGTAACTTTCTAGCGAACAAGTTTGCAGCTGACATTGTCAATAACCTTTCATGGTTGCAGGAGTCGCAGAGGCGCCGACTGCAGGCCAGCGATGCCCACATGATGGAGCCACTTGCGTCCTTGGCGTGGCAGTGGACAAGACACGTGGTAAACGTGACTAGGGAAAGGAACTTTACTCTGAGCTGCCTTGTTTGAATCCTTTGGCATTGTCAAGTTGCGTTGACTGGTGATTTGTATTCCAGCGCTAGCGTTGCATTTCGCTTCAGGCTGCCATGGTACATGAAGAGGCTGAAGCAGCTTCCAGGGTCGAGGCGCAAGTTCAAAGCAAATTGGCCAGCAGACACAGAGCAAGCAAGCAGAAGCTTCAACATCTTTCTGATTTTGCTCATGCTCTTGCTGATGGAGAAAAAGACAGCCGTCTATTGCAGGCTTACGAGCAGCAGTTGGCTTCAATGGTCGCTGTGCGTGACTCATTGCAGGCAAGCTGTCACAAGCCTTACGTGGGGTTGGTTCTGTCGTGTTAGCTGCTACTGCATTGAAGGCCCAGCTGCAAGCAGCGTTGCAAGTTCAGGCCTGCTGCTTGGGCTTACCATACTTTCAGCATTCTCGCCGGGTTTGCAGACCGAGCTGCGGGAGCACATTGTGGCGGAGCGCGAAGGGCGCGCTGAGCTGGAGGTGCGAAGGCCAGAGATTGCCTGATGTAAGCAGCTAGATAGTTGGGACAGGTTGCTGGCGAGAGGGAGCTCGTTGCATGGGAGAAAAACAAGGCTCCTTGGCTCATGTGCATGAGCCTTTCCCAGGCTGTGATGGTGTGTAAGACTAAGAACAGGGAATGGCATCAGACCCGTTGTAAGACGTCAGCCTCCCGAGGAGATGATGCACTCTCCTGGTACAGAGCTCCAAAGCCAGGGCCGCATCTGAATTGCTTTGGCATGTTGTATCCGTGACACTGCCAAGAACATGGCAGGAGGTAAGTTGCAGCCGGATTCGGACCCCTGTATGAAACACATTTGTACAACACGTAAGCGCCCCGCAAATGATGATCACTGCATGTTGGCAAAGATTCAGCAGAAAGCATGGAGAATTTTGCGCTAGTGGAACAAGGTGCCCGTGATTCGCAAACCAGGCTGCAGCAGCACTTGAATGCTGAGGCTGGTCGCAGTGTGCTCTGTCTTGCTGTCAGCGAGCAGGGTGAACTCCTGCGGCCTGCCAGGCAGTCATATGCGAGCGTGAAGCCGCAGCCCTCCGAGACAGAATGGAGGAGCTGGAGGAGGATCCTTCTCTGAGAGGCTTCCTTAGGGTGTAGTCGCTCCCACTGCGAATGGAGGAAATGCAGCTCGCCGCAGACAGCAAGGAGCGCTGCAAAGTGGCTCTCGGCGCAGCGGAGACAGCCTGGCATGAGTTTGGGTCATGCTTAAGGAAGGGTAGCTCACGACCCGAATTCGACAAGAGTAGACGGCCGCTGTTGTTCTTCAGGGGAGCAGTTTTGAAAGGAACGAGTGTAGCCGGGTGAGCACTCCGAGGAGAAGGTGTTTCACGGCTTTCAGCTAGAGCTTCCCGTTCAAGATCCACACCGATGTTTGACTGAAGCAGATTCTGGATTCCCTGCGGACTGGTGCTCCTGCATAGCTCGTAAACATTATTCGATGAATGCATTTGCAGCTTGCCTTCAGCAACCATACAGGGTTTGCATGGTAGCAGATTTGTCGCGGAAGCACATTTATCGTGCACCACCCAAGATTTGGAGAGGAAGATCGCCACTCTGACAAAGATTCCCAATTCCTCTTTAAAACCCATGCTGAAGTACTTTTATACATGTGGATGCATATGCTCAGATCTGAAATTGCTGAAGGTGTGAGTGGTCACTTCTGCATGACGAGGCGGAGGAGGTCTGGCAGTGCTTTTCCAAGAGGAGCCTTTTCAGTCAAGTTGTCTCACAGGCCGAGCAGGCTGCCAGCGCCAGGAATGCAGAGGTCGAGAGGGTCACCAGGCTCCGCCACACCGCCAGTGAATCTCTTGCGAATGATCGTAGCAAAGGCCAGGCCATGTTGAACAATTCTGCAACAGTAGCCTTCAGCTGCAAATGAAGAGAAATTACCGGTGCCTTGATTTGGTTAGTAGCATTGCACAGAAGATCTTGAAATTGCCCGGCCTGAGAACCAGCCAGCATGCAACCCAGCAGCCGAAACCCATGGCGGAGAATCGGAGAGTCTGACAAACTCGGACTTTGAAAGGGGATACCGGTGAAAAACCTTCCCAGCCTCCGGACTCTACTCAATTGGTGCCATCTCTATCTGCGCTGCAACAGCACGTCCAAGCAGCTCTTCACAAAAACTTTCTTGCTTGGCAATCCTGCATGCGTGGACATGAGTGGGAGCTGTGCCAAAAGGACAATTTCGCTTTCAATGATAGCTCAGTGTTCTCGAACACTTGCGAAAGTGCGGTCAATTGATGTTGCTGTGGTGCAGGCAGGCCAGAGAGATCCAAGCCCAAGTTCACGGTGTCAAGGAGGCCTTCGGGGATGACATTTCCAGCATGATGCCCCCCTGTTCATTCAAGATGATTCAAGCATGGCTCGGTCTGCAGGACATCCTGCAATGCCGGCAGGCAGCGGGGGCATACATTCCGTGGAGCTTCCGCATGATGTGCCCCATCACGCTCGAAGGACCACTTGGCCCTGGAACTCAAACAGGAGAGAGACCTTCTGCATGATGAGGCGACAGTGACAGCAATGGTGTATGCAATCTTGTGTTTCGCGACAAAGCTTCAGGTGCAGCAGGAAGCTTTGCGCCAAGAAGATCTTTTCTTGGAGCTGGACGAAGCAAGGTTGCGTACTAAGGGCTTGCGTTCAGATCTTGCCTTTCTTCGTCGGTTCGTGATGTCAAGAAGCCCAAGGCGGTCCCGCAGTATATTTCAGTGCTTGTTTCCTCGAAACAAGTCTCAGCCACCTCTGCCAGAGTCTTACAACTGGTGCCTGGGACAAGCTCAGCTTACTTCAGTGGTGGCTATGATTGAGGCCGCCACCGAACTACGCCCCGCCAACGAGGTAGACGGCAGCCCCACAAGAGTGTCATGTTGGGATCCTGCTGCGTGCGCTGAAGGACTAAGCCCCCGCCCCAAAGAGCGTCTCCAATGCTGCTTGCCGAGAGCGGAGAATGACATATGGCTTGCTGAGTTTCTGGGTCGTTCATCCTCTGGAAGCACCTTGTCCGAGGCTGCAAGGCCAGCCGTCAAACAGTGGCTCCTTCCTCAGTAGAGAGGTTTTCAGCCCATGCATTCAGCATCTGCCTAAATTAGGCTGTTGCGGACATGGGTTCCCCTCGTGACATAGTACAACTTACTCGCATTTCAGGAACTGCAATTCATGCAAACTGAACTGTACTTGCGTGATCTTGGCACATGCCTCCAGGAGGGGTCACTGGCTCTTGCATTTAGAGCTGCGCAGGGTTCGGGCCTGGTTGCAAGTTGGTCCTTTTCGCTTCTTTTCTGCAACTGTTCTGGAATGTCACATGCGAATGACGACAAGTGCAGTAGGATTTCCTTCCTGGCAATCAGTCCATATGCAATTGTAAGCCTACTTGGCGGTGATAGCCATTGCTAGTTTTCTTTGCGTTTTCTATCCTTCTCGTACACATGCATGATGGATGCGAGCGGCTGGCTGATGATGCAGGCACTCCTCATCCGTGTTTTGTTCCCTGAGGCAAATATTCCAGGCAAATACTAATAGGCTCCTTTGTTTCTACCTGCCCTTCTCGCATTGGCTTTGGTTCTGCAAGTGTCGCAATCATAGACGCCTGGTTCCACCTTGTACAAAAATTTGGAAATGTGGGTCCACGTGCTTTTAAAGGGATTCCACGGGCACCTAAAGGTATGCTTTCTAGAAAAATCTACACACGTACTGAAAAAGTAACTGAGATCTTCCAAGTCACAACACACAAGGGCACACCTAAGTGTTCCTCAGCTGCATCCAGACAACTCCTTTATGCCGTATTCAGATCAAGTCTTGAGCCAACATAC